CGGAGCGGCTGTAGAACCCTACGCCACACACGGAAGTGGTGGACGGAGCGGCTGTAGACCCCTACTCCACACACGGAAGTGGTGGACGGAGCGGCCGTAGAACCCTACTCCACACACGGAAGTGGTGGACAGAGCGGCTGTAGAACCCTACTCCACACACAGGTAGGAGATCCTTGAACACTGTCTTGCTGAAGCTGAGCTGAATTAGGGGATGTGTCCCAACAAGGGATCTGGGTAGAGAATCTCCCCTCAAAAAGATTATTGGAACAGAGGCTGAAGAAGAGTCAAGAAAGGCAGCTGCAGTCACGGGGGAGGACATGTTCCCTGAACTCTTCGGACCTGGGATATCCAAGAGTAGGAGCTGGCTCTTTCCGAGCAGGGACCCTCAGGACACCATCATACTTAATTGTTTTCATGTTGCCCAGAAGAAGGTAGTGAAATTCAACTTAGCTCACACAACTCAGTCACTCTTCATATTAGAAAGCCAATTTAATAACTGTGGTAAGACATGAATATTTTTCAGGAGGAAACTCACCAAAGAGAGTGAGGGCAAGCACCCTGAAGGCTCAAAGCCTCACGAAAGGCCCAGTTGCTGTTATTGGAGATAAGGTGCCAGTTTCTCCTAGCACAGCCCTGAAATATACTGGCCCGAGACAGCTGTGTGTCTCTTCCATTTTCTACCTTGTTTCTTTCCCTCAGTATTTTCTTCATTATTGCTGTGGCCATCAAAAGCTCACCCCAGGTTCCTGACAACTGATCAGTTTCAGGCATGAACTTGCTTGCACTGAAGATGGTCGGAAGGCCCTTAGGTTAGGCAGGATGGCTTCCTGGGAAGAGGTATCTCCCTCTATCCCCCACACCTGTTTGAGTTAAACCCTGGCCAGGAATCCTGGCAGACAGAGATGGTTCTTCACCCACACTCCACTTTTCCAAGTTGCCTTTGTGAGGCATCCTTGGGCGTCTTCTGGACTTTAGGAACCCTCCCTCAGAAGGGATAAAAAGGTGCCTAATGGAAGAGGGACTCAGGGGACCCTAACCTTCACTGCCCAACTGTTGGCTAGGTAGATTAACAGTCACTGCCTTCTGTTGTGTGCTCACTGGTGACCTTACCAGGGTCCCACGAATAGTTTGCATCCAAGTGTCACACAGACAGTCACTAAAAAAGGGCCCCTAAACAAAACTAGAGGTCATGACTCTAGGACAGGGACTGTGAGGGATGCTGACGGGGATGGGAGAGAACAGAGGGTGGGAGTGGCTAGTCACAATGCATGATATAGATTATGAAATTGTCAAAGAAGAACATTAATTTTTAAATGCTGAAGAAGAAACTAAAGGTAACATACTGCCTAATAATGAAATGCATAAACAAATTAAACTAAAATATGAAAGAGAGTAACAAATACAAACATAAACAATTAAAAATACAATAAAGTAAAAGCACTGCTAAAACAAAACAGCAAACAAACCCCCAGGTAACTGGGAAGCAATGCCAGGAACTACAGTTTATTAAGCTCCTATGGTGTCTGAGGTACCAGTGTGCATTTTCATATACTCCTCCCCAGGCTCTGTAAGAGAATGACTTATTAGCAACCCATTTTGCAGAGGATTCTCACCCATTCCACAGCACTGACCGTGGATGTGCTGTGGGCAGACCGAGGGCTCCAGGGTGATCTGTTGGAAAGTGTTTCCTCTTGTTTTTAGGTACCTGATGACAGTCTGGATGACTTTCCCAGCTTTTCCAGGACAAAGAGCTTCTGAATACCTTTCTTCCCTTTACAGAAGAGGTGCCAAGTGTGCCCATGCCCACCCCAACCTGTGGCAGCTCTGAGCTGACCTCTTGCTTCCAGGTTGAAAATATGCAGCGTCTCTGCCCATTGGAAGGGTTAAGTTAGAACTTGTGCCCCAGGCTCCTCTGTAGCATCACAGGTTAGTTACAAGTAAAATAAAAACAGGGTATGCTATGTGCTGGTGGTAGCATCCTGCAGAGAAATTACCTGCTGTGCAGTTACCAATGTCTGCTAAATGCAGCTGAATTTGCCTTTGCATAGAACAAAACAATTTTCAGTGACAACCTACAGCCAGAAAATACAGATGTCATTTCTTAAGTGCCAACAGCACATCTAACTTGGATTTATGTGCATTGCATTCACCTTGTTTCTCATGAAAATCCCGGTGGGTAAAGAGTTACTGCTTTCCTTTTATAGATAAAGAATCTGAGATCCAGACATTAAAATATCTTGCCAAGTCAAGCAACTGGAGCCAAGACAAATCATGTTCTCTTTACCACAGTATTATGCTTATTGATGATTTAATTACTATTAGCTAAGAATTGACAAAGCATAGAAAAATGCCTCTTAGAACACACCTTGATCTGTTGAATGAGGGCTTCATCTTCTGGCACATTGTGGTCGATGGCGATGACGATGCCTTCATAGCCATTGTTGTTGAGCTGGATGAGGGAATTGCTCAGAACCCCTTCCAGAAGGTGGAGGATCAAGATGAAGACAGGACTCTTCAATGATCCCATCATGTAGATTTCCCTTTGGAAAGGGCTGGTTGTACAAGTGTCTTTACTACTATATATATGCATGAAGTAGAGACACAGTTTTCTCCTTATCAAAGGTGATTTATTGTAGGTCTTTAACCTCTTGACCCTAAATAGTTCTTTACCACATTTGTCTACAATATAAGAGTAAGTATTGTTTAAAACCAAACTGTGTACTTTTGTTTCTATTTAAAGGGAATGTTGGGATTGCCTTAGGCTGTGCCAGATGCTTGAGTAAGGGTGGGGGAGCCTACATCCGGTTCCCAGAAGCATGCATGCCAGAAAAGCAGGTTGGCCATTGGAAGATATGTTTACTTACAAATATTTGTCTAGTCAGGGACACTGATCCACCCACCACCACCCTGGACCCCACCTTCCCAACTTGACTCTAGTGCATTTAAGTAGACTTTTGTTTCCTGTAAGGCATCTCTCCAATCCTTTCTCCTGGTGGACTTCACTTTTAATCTCAGCAATACTGGAATGACCTCAGCATCTCATGGCATGCTCCTTATACAATCTATATACACCAAAGCAGCAGTGAGTAGTTCAGATGTTACAAAATATTTTATACTAGAGAGAAAAGGTAAAACTTTGATTTTATTTTTCAAAACAAACTTCCACCAGTTTCTTTAGTACCCCATTGCTTCTCTACCATACATCTCCTACCAGCCATTAAAGTTTAAACCAACAACATGAACTTATTTTGCTGAAATTAAATGTCACCCTGAAAAGCATAAATTATGGGGTATTAGCTAGATTCTTTCAAGCTCACCAAACTTCAGATGAAAATCCAAAGTGGCCCACCATATCCCTGACTTCAAATTACCTGGAAATAGCTTTTACCAAACTTAATTCGGTCTTCAGATAGATAAAAGCATGAATTTTACCTTGTCTGTCCATTTTTTGGGCATTTGGCTCATAACAATTAATTTAGTATTTATTGCGAACGTACTAATAAACAATTGAAAAGGAAGAATTAGAGTAGAGGTTTAAAGTGATTGTCCACATGATCAAAGTACATGTTCATAGGAAAGGATAACTGCATTTGTCGTGCCTACAAATACAAAGTGTAGATCCAGGCCAGAGAGAGGACTGTGCATAAAGAAAGGCACTTGCTCTCAAGCCTGACAACCTGAGTTTGATCCCTGGAACTCTCTTGGAGATGGGACAAAAGAGACTCCAGCAAGTAGTTCTGTGACTTCTACATACATGCCTTGGCATAGGGATGTGTGTGTGTGTGTGCGCGCGCGCGCGTGCGCGCATGCACCTGCATACATACACACACACACACACACACACACACACACACACACACACTCACTCACTCATGCACATTCACTCATGCACACATGCACACACTCAATTATGTAAACAAAACAAAACAAAACCAACAAACATAGATTCTAAAATATCTGTCTCCAAACTACAGGTTTGCCTATTTTCCCTAGAAAAAAAAAGGCCCAAAGGTAAGTTTAGGATCTATTTGCAGTTAATGTCATATAAAGGAAAGGAAACTGAGTCACAGAGGAATGGGAAGCAATGAAAGGAAAATGTTCTGGGGTATTTGAACACTGTATGAAGGTGTATTTGCTGGGATTGGTGTAATCAAAAGCTGAATGGCCAATAGCAAGGCAGAAGGTATAGGCAGGTTTTCTGAGAAGGAAAAGGAAGAGGAGGAGATAATTGAGGTGCAGAGAGGATGCCAGGAGACATGGAGAGGAAATAGAAGATGCAAGATGAAAGAAAGGTAAAAAGCCTTCCTGATGTTTAAGGAAATGATGATTGCAAAAGATGTTGGAGTGACCTGAGGTGGTGGAGATACTTGGATCTATAGCCTGAGTTATAGTGGATGATGACTAAGGTGAGCAAGTGACTGAGGGTCTAGAAGACACACAGAAGCAAGAAAACCTGAAGGTTCACTAAGGTGAATCTAATGTTCTCTACGTGAGCCACTTTTTGAACTGCTCGGATTCAATCTCATCATGTTTTGTTCCAATACTAAATAAAGAGGTTGCAGCTGTGGTGTGTGTGTGTGTGTGTGTGTGTGTGTGTGTGTGTGTGTGTGTGTATGTGTGTGTGTGTGTATCTGTCTGTATGTCTGTCTACAAGCTGAGAGCAAAGGCAAGTTTAGTTATTCCTAGAATCTCAAGTTGATGACTAATTATAATTGCCTAAAGTATGTGAAGTAGGACAGTTATTGTGAGTGTGCTATTAAAACCATAGACAGGTTTATCAGTGTCTTTCTGAAATGTCAAAAGTTAATCAATAGAGTTAGATTGACAGGCTACATCAGTTTCACTGGGTACAGTTTATCAAGTTGTCCCAATTTTTCTTGAGACTATGGCTGTCAACAATCACAAGTTCTGGAATGCTCATCTTAATTACTAATGTTAACTCTCAGATCACACACTGCACTTCATATAGTAATATATACCTATCGGTATGTGTTTCAGAATAACTACCAAGGATTTAAAGAGGCTACATAGAGAACAAAACAGTCTCATTCAAGGCAGAGTCAGAAGGCTGCTACAGAGGCAGAGGAGCCACTGAAGATACTTAGACAAGATGCTGACAAACCCTACTGAAGAGCTGGTAGACACCGAGGCACTAAAGTACAGGACCTTTGAGGTGAGTCACAGGCCAGGTCTAGGTGTACAAATGGGTGGGTGGATGGATGGATGAATGGGTGATGGATGGATGGATGGGTGATGGATGGATGGATGGATGGATGGATGAGTGATGGATGGATGAATAGATAGACAAACAGCAATTAAAGTGGATTATGTCAAACAGTGGAGACTACTGAGCTGAAGCCCCTGGGGAATAGTCAAGAGTTCTCTGTCTCTCTGTCCCTTGACACATGTCCCAGGTGATCAGAAAACAGGTCCATGGCTACATCACCATCACAGTGTTAGGTGTTCCTCCCTCCTTTCATAGTATCCAAGTGAGGGTGTTGCATCTCATTCATCTGATGTGCTTGGTAAATTCTTGTTTTTTTTCTGATACGGTTTTTAAACACCCACATGCCCATGTGTTCTTAATTATTTCGATAAGTTCTTAAGTAGTATTTTATTACTTGCACAAATAAGTTATTTGTCAGCTTGTGCCTTGTGGTTCATGCTGGACAGACAGCAACGTCCATATGTGTAAACAAGACACAGGTTTATTTTCCCTCTGCCTTTGCAACTTAGAATGGAGCCAAAGTGGAGCCTTTAGCTACACTGTCCTTGCTGCATTTTTGATAACAGTGGTTCCTGTGAGGAGGACTCAGCCTGTGTTTGTGCCTTCACAGATTGACTAGACCTTCCAGTTGGCCCCTGTCACTGTTCTCTCACCTATGACACAGCAGACTCTTCTAAGCATCTGCCAGGTAAGGGCCTGCCCTGGCATGGCCACCACTGTACAGGCTGTGGCTGCTCTTCTACTCTCTATGGTACCCACCAGTGGCCTGTTGCATGCAGAGGTCTTGGCTCAGATAAAGTGCTGCAACATGGCACCTGGGATCTGGCTTTCTAAGCCAGCTCTATGAGTCAAACAACACAAATCTCAAGTGAGTTAACTTTCTAGGGGATGACCTTTTTCCAAACGAGGAACATTTTCTGCCTTCTAGGAGGCTCCTTTCTGAGGCAAAGCGCTCGGATGACAACTACTGTCTGACTCCTGTTGTCATATTGGTTAACATTGCCCGGCTTTGAATGGCTCATGAGTATGAATTCAGGTTATGAAATTTTGTGTCTGGCCATTGTGACACAGCATGTTCTATGTGAAATTCAGTCATGTTGTTTTAAGTGGCAGTGATATATTTTCTTACCAACATATTCCATTGTGAAAATGGGCCCCAGTTCATTTTCCATCTGCCGTTGCTGAACTTTTGTGTTATTTCCAGTTGGGGCTAAGGTGACTAAAATTGTCATAGATAGAAGCATTGATTTCAACAGCATGTGTTTTAAAATCTTAACCGCCGGGTCTTAGGGAAACATATATCTAGTGTCAAACTCTCTTTTGACCAACACTCTAGTCAAAATCTCTAGCCTTTTCCATGAGGGGTTCCTTCCTTGCAGGATCTGGGTTGAACTTGAATTCTGCTAAGATAGTTGAGGGAAAATCTCATGCTTGGCATGTGGTTAACCTCAATATCTTATCTCCCTGGCCAGCCATCAGCAACAATTCCGTGAAGTCAGTTTGGACAGAAACTCCTTATCCTTTATGCTTTCTTTCAGTCGGTGTTCAGTGCTGAACTCACCTTGTTTCTTGGTTTTAAATCCCTACTTGTCCTCATTGGAGTTAAATAGAATCTCTCTTCACCACTGCCAAATGCCATTTCAGTGGTGGTTGTATGAATTACCTCAGCCGCTCATAGCATCTTCAACAAATGTTTATGCCTAGGATGTCTCAGTGGGACATTGTCAATGGTATTTTTATAGTTTAATTTTATAATTATTTACTGCTATACAAAAATAAATCAATTTTATATATCAACCCCAAATTCGATGATCTTGATGAGTTCATTTGTTTCTAGCAGTTTATAGGTTTGTTGTGGGTATATATGTGTATGATCCTGTCATTTGTGATGTGTTTATTTTTAAAAATCTTGTATCATTTGACACTTCACTTGCATGCACGTATGGACCTGCAGTGTAGTGTTTATTACAGATAGAAAGAATGGATATCTTTTTTCTGCTTTGCCCAAACTCAGAGTGACCATTCAGAAAATACTCCATATATCATCATGAAGCACACTTTTACCAGAGATACTTCATAGCTAACTATACTTTCTTAAGGAACTACCCTTCAAGTCTACAAAAAATATGTTCTTAAAATCATGAACACAGTTAGCATGGTGGCTCATATCTGCTATCCCAGCACTTGGTGGGCTGAGGGAGGAAGACTGCTACAAATTCAGAGCAGATTTACAGTGTAATGCTTTCCAAGATAGCCTGAACTGGAGTGTGAGACCTTGTCACAACCAACCATGAAAACAGTCATTAATAAGTCCTGAGTGCTGTCAGATATTTGTGTATCTCTACTAAGATGATGACATCATTTCCCTCTTTACTCTGGGAATACAGATTACACTGATTGACTTTGCAGAGTTAAAGCACTCTTGCATCTTAGAATAAATCCTGCTTTTCTGTGATGCAGTATTCTTTTAAATTGACTGGTAATTCAGTAGGATCTTCGCATTTGTGTCCAGGTGAGAGCCTGGTACGGGCTTCCCTTCCTGTAATGCCTTGCCAGCTAGTGATCCCATGCTTGCTCCAGCTTCACACATATCCTTGAGAAGTCAGGATTCTTTTTCCATCCTCTGGAACAGCTCATATGATTACCTCTAGTTTATTAAGTTTCATTTCATTCTTGTACCTTCATCATCTATGTTGTGAAATCACATGTTTTGATGATCGTCTGTTTCCAAGCATTTTATAATTTTAATTTTGAGTTCTTCTTAGAGTATCAATTAAACAGAGGTATACTTCTTAATCTCCAGACATTCAGGACTTCTCTCACTGATCGTTTGTTGATTTGTAATTCCATTGTTGTTGGAAAACATGCTTGGAGATTGATTTTTAATTTATTTGTCAGTGTGTGTGATGTTAAGTGTTTACATGCACTTGTGACTTGTATGTGTGTGATGAAGGTCAGAGTTGACATCCAGTGTCTTTCCTGACTGTGCCCCACTTTGCTTTTTGAGAGAGGGTTTCTTCCTGAATTGGGACTTACAGATTTGGTTAGACTGGCTAGGCAGCAAGCCTCCAGGATCCTCCTGTCTTCCCAGGCCACATACACAGTGCTGCAGCTAGAAGCATGGCCCACTATGGTGGTAGGTAGGAATTCAGACTCTGGGCCTCATGTTCTCATGGTGAGCACCTTACTGATTACATTCTTCCTGTAGCCCATAGTTGGAGACTTAAACCTTTTAAAATTTGTTGAGACTTGAATTTTTCATCAGCTCAGGTATATTTTGGTAAAATACTTCATATACATTTGAAAAAAATGTGCATTCTACAATGGTTGGGTGTGTTTTTCTACGTATCAGTTAATCCAGGGTAGTTAACCGTACTAGTCAAATCTCTGTTTTATTAATTTGTTTTCTGTTTGCTCTTTTAGTTATTGGGGGAGAAGTGTTGAAAAATAAAAACCAGTTTAATTAAAGGATGTCTCTCTCACAAAGCCTTCTTTATCTTAGTGAGAAATTGAACAAACTAAATGTCTATTAATAAAGTAATATTACTTAATATTTGCCTTATTACATCTTATTCATTCATCTTCAAATGTTTACAGTATCCATCCTTTGTATAACTGAAAGATTATGAATAATAAATACTGGACTGGAGACCATCGTTTTGAAATCCTAGCCTGTTAATGTAAGAATGGGAATCATGTCTTCTTCACTGATGCTCTGTTCTCCCTTTTCCTTCTTCTGCCTCCCACTTTCTTCCTCCATTATTGTCTTCATGCTCCTCTTCACGGGGAGGATTAAGGTCACACCAATGTATAAGTTATTCTTTTTGGAGTTTTGCTCAGTAATATTGCATCTGCTTCACAGAACCAGGAAGATAAAAAAAGTGATTTTCTACCATCCTGACCCCCCTGCTGTGTTCTGTGCTCTTGAGTCAATTGTGACTTCTCGATAAGACTCACCAGACTGCAGCAGGAAGAGGGAAATAAAATTAGCTGCCATCTGGGTCCCTCTCCACCCATCCTAGGAACCATCCTGCAGATAAGAGCATTCCAATTGAAGGGCACATGGGGTTTATAGAGCAGGAATTTGTTTCTTTTGGTCCCTAGTGACACACTGCAGTCTCCTCCCTGCATATATGTTCCCAAGAGCTTCTCTGTCATCATAAACTTTGTGACCTGTGTCCCTAACTTTTATTTTATCTCTTCTCTATCTTCATGTCTGATATGTATGCTTTTGCTTCCTATAACACACACAAGAAAATTCTCTCCGATCTCACCACTTCTTGGATTTCATGTCTGCCTTAATCCCCCGTGTACTACATTCACAGATCCTAACACATAATGCAGTGTACACCGAAATTTATATTATATACCATCTCTTTATTTCCTTTTCAAAAATAGCTTTACTGAGACATTCATGTGTTGTACAGTTCACCCTTTTATTTATTTATTTTTTTTGGTTTTTCAAGACAGGGTTTCTCTGTGTAGCTTTGCGCCTTTCCTGG